ACATACCAACATGCCTAGCTTGGGTTTCTGTTTTGTTTTGTTTTGGGCAGTACTGGGTTTAAACTAAAGGCTTGTCAGCTGTTAAGCAGGTGCTCTAATGCTTCAATCATGCCTCCAGCCATTTTTGCTCTGGTTACTTCTGAGATAGGATCTTGCTTTTGCACAGTTGGCCTGAACCACAATCCTGTATGCTTTCTGCCATAGCTGGGATAGTGGATACATGCCACCATAGCCAGCTCATTCTGTTGAGATTGGTTCTTTTGAGATTTTTTTTTTTTTTGGTCCAGGCCTGCAACTACAATCATCCCCATATCAAGTTCCCACGTAACTGGGATGACAGGTGTATATCACAGCATCTAACCATTTGTTGAGATGGAATTTCACAAATATTTTCCCAGTCTGACCTCAAATTGCAATCCTGATCGCCAACTTCCAAGCAACCAGCCCCTCAGTGTAGCTTGCTTTTTTTTTTTTTTTTTTTTTTTTGGGTCCGGTCATGGGGCCTGAACTCTGGGCCTGGGCGCTGTCCCTCAGCTCTTCAGCTCAAGACTAGCGCTCTACCACGTCAGCCACAGCGCCACTTCCGGCTTTTTTCTTTTTGCTTATGTGGTGCTGAGGAATCGAACCCAGGGCTTCATGCATGTAAGGCAAGTACTCTACCACTGAGCCACCTTTCCAGCCCTGCTTTCTAAGATATGATCTTGCCAACTTTCCCTGGGTTGTCCTGTACCCACAATCGTTCCATCTCTAACTCCTATATTATTTTTTACAACTGCATATCAATCTGCATTTATTTCAATAAAAGGTTTAATATACAGTTAATGGTTAAGTGCATTTTCCAATGCTGTTTATTAAACAAACCTAAAAAGAAAATTACAAGACAATTTATGTCCTAAAAGACAAACACATAAGTTTTGAGGTTTGCTTATAATTTAACTGAGTATTAAAGTATACACTATATGCTGTAAAAAAAAAAAAAGCATGTGAGTTGCCAGAAAATATATGAAAAGTATCATTCTAATATGCAGGTATTATATTTTAAAGATTTTTTTAAACTTTTTTTTAAAAAACAGCCTGATAGCAAGGCTACTTAGAAAATTTATTCTATTTTGTTTTGTTTCATTCTGTTGTATACTACAGATAATATATAACCAAGATTTATCAATTGTTTGACTATCAAACTCAGCTTATTTATTGAAATGGGGTCTCATAATTTAACCAAGGCTGACTTCAAGCTGAAATTCTCCCAATTTCTGGTTCCTAGATAGCTTGTCTTACAAACACCAGCCTAAAACCTTCTCTTCAATAAATAGAGTCCTATGGATCATTTAATAAAGTGTGACAAACAGTACATGTCAGGCACTGTTCTAGGCATGACACAGTAATGTACAATACAGATGAAAACTCTTCATAGTGCTTAAATTCCCAGAGGAAAAATAAAACAATGGGACAGAGAGAGTGAGATATTGATAAATTCCATTAAAAATAATGGACTGGGAGTATAAAAATGTAGGCAGCTTGGAGGTGAGTGTTATTCCATGTAGGATGCATATAGAAGGCCTCAAAAACCTGGCATCTCAGCAAAGAGCAAGACAAGCACTTATCTGAGGCCAAAAACAGCCAATAGCAGTCCTGAGAGAAAGTATGCTTGCTGTACTTCACCAGAAGGGGCAGTGTGGCAGGCACAGAGAATGAGGAAAGAGAGTCTGGAAAAAGGCCAAGGAGGCACAGATTGCTCAGCTTCACATTTCTTCCAAGTCTTGAGAAGAGCCCTACATCATCCATTCAAATAGTCACATTTTATAAACTTTGACAAACTAAAGCATTTTTACCAGACAATAATTACCACTTTAGGTTCTGATTTCTCCAACACCCCCCACACTGCTGTGCAGAGCACAGTTGGAGCAAGGTATATTCACTAAGCTACTTTCCAGAAAATTGATTCCTAATAGTCCAAGGAAGGGTGGAGTCCAGGAATAAGCTACCATTCTTTGTGCCAATTTACCCTGTCATAACATAAGAGAGAAGGATCAGAGGCCATGCCAGACTACATATGGACATTCTAGCAGGCTAAACTCTGAAATGCAGAGGTAATGAAAATGCAGAGGCCTAAGACAGGCTGTCAAAAGTTCTTCCAAGCATTAAAAATGAAAAGTAGTAAGAAGAGGGCTTGACTTTTATCAAAGTCTAGTTAACAAAAGGAAACTATGCTCCATTCAAGAAAACGAAGTGGATGCAAACATAAGTATTACTAATGGAACAAATTTATAAGCTTTTTTCTTGTGGAATTTTATAATACAGAATATTTTAGAATTCCTGTGCTTTAGAAGTACTATCTACAGCTGAATTTAAAACACAGTGATCTGTGCACTAAATCACATGGTTTTAAATATTCCATATGTAAACCATTTTAAAACATATGTATGAACAAAAGATGGAATTATATTTTTATTCTCTCCATAGAAAATGAAACTATAAAATCATCATATGATTAAATAGATGCTTTAAGCCAGGCCTCAATGACTCATGCAGGCCTAGCTATGTAGAAGGCTAAGATCTGAGGACCCCCTTTCAAAGGTAGCCTGTATAAAAAAAATTCATGAGATTCTTATCACAAATAACCAGCAAAAGGCCAGAAGTAGAAGTGTGGCTTAAGTGGCAGAGCCCCAGACTCGAACAGAAAAAGCCAAGCAAGAGTATGAGGCCTTGAATTCAAGCTCAAGACACACACACACAGGCATGCACGTGCACATGCACGCACACACGCACACACGCACGCACACACACACACACATACACACACACACACACACACACACACACCAGGCCATTTATAAGCAATAAATGACAAAAAAAAAGTTATTTCCAAAATATACTAGAGGATTATTTTATGAAATTACATAATTTTCCTGAATTGTTATATCTGACATTTATCATCTCTTTAAAATTAAAACTACCATATCATTCAAAGTAAATGTTTAATGACTACATTAAGAAGCAATTAAATACAAGTCCCTGGGTTTAATCTCCAACTTGCATACACAGGTAAATAGATTAGGTAACTTGAAGACAATCTGAAGAGAATCAAAATTCTCTTCAGAATTGTTAAGGAGCAATGTTAAGGGGCCATTAAAAAAAAGATCAAGTGGAAAATAAGGAGGCAGAAATATGGATATAAATCTCTATGTAGAGAAATATAGTCTACTTCAAGTAGTCAACATAATTTTTTAAAAACAATTGAGAAAAAAGAGATACTAACTAAATGAAAAAAACCAGACTGACCACAAATTCCAACAGGATGTATAAAAAAACAAAACTAGGTGATCATCTTTAGATCACTGTCAAGTTAGAACTCCATGTCCAGAAATATTATTAATTCAAACAAATATTTCTCAAACTTTAATGCACTCTATTTGAGAGTTTGTAGTACAATGAGAAGTAAAACTGAACAAGTCTCTGACCTGTCTTTCAAGAAGAATAAAGACAAGGTATCTACTTTCCCCATGTCCTGAATTTTCCATCTCATTGCAAATAAAAGTTTCAAATACTTTTTCTGTAGCACAATCTTCAAATAACTTATAGCATATCCTAGGCTTACTTTAATCAGAGGTACATGAAGCCTCTGAAATTGCATGGAGATTTGAGTTTCTTTCTGTACTTGAGCAGTTTTCTATGAAGACTGTGTTTGTTATCAGATCCTCAAACAGGACTATGACCCAAAAAGGATCAGAGCCAGTCTTCTAAGACTCATCCCCTCCCAACCATCAGTTTGGCATTACTCTTATGATTCTTACAATATCACATAATTTATCCTGCAGTCCTTCTCCTCTACTAGGACATTATCAACTAGACAGCAAAACTCCATGAGTTCATGGGCTATGTTACTTCCCAGCATGTAACACATCTAACTAAAACATGGAAATACATGGTATTGAAGAAAATTATTTTACCACTGAAATGAATTGCTATATGCATCTCTGTAATATAGTCCTCTGTTAGGGAACTCAAGAATCTACCCTTAGGTAAATATTTATATTTTCTTAGTTGAGTTGCTTAATGCCTATCAACTCTGTTAAAGAAACTGAAAGATTTTAATGTAAATGTTTTTAAGTTGTGAATCTGGTGAATCTAGTGGTAAAACATTGGTTACATATTACTATAAATAATGTCATACAGGTAACATTAATTTCATTTCTATAAACTTGGCAATTTGGAAGAAAGGCTAATTCTATTTTAAGTGCACGACTGTTTCAACATTTAGGGAGGTATATCCTCCCATCATTTTTCCTTCAAGAAGTGGCAATAGATTGTTTCTAACATATTTATAAGATTATGTCTTTGTTGCCTTGTATGTCCCTCCCCCACGGTACAACCCTTGCTTTCACTATATATGATGTTGGTATATGTGGAGGGGAAGGGAAAAAACAAATTGTTAAAACAGGGATACAGGAGGACCCATTTCAGCAATGAGATGTGCAAGTCATTATGTCGAAAAACGAACTTTACAACTTTGGTGGGGAGGGGACGGGGGGACGGGAGGATACTAAGGGATGGGAAAGGGAAACAGAACAGGAGGCTACAATGCTTGATGGGAAGTGTGCTCATTATCTTGCCCATGTAATTGTGGCCCCTCTGTACAGTATTTTCACAATAAAAATATATTTAAATAAATGAATAAAAAATAAAAAAGAAGTGGCAGTAGAAATAAAGCTTATTATGGTTAAATACATAGATTATATAACCTAAGATGAAGTACTAAACATCAAAAAGAAAAGAATCACAAAAAGCACTGACTGTGAATCACTTTCCTCCTAAAATAAATGAAGATTAATTCTATATAACAGAACATAATCACAGGGTATCAATGTTTTTTTAAACATGTAAGTCCATCCTTCAAAACAGACATGGGATATATGCTGATTTTTCCTTTATTTTCTTTAAGTGAATTAATTTTTAAAGCCTATAGAGAAAACTCAAAGTTAAAAAAATTATTTACTTACCAAATTGGCCATATAAATTGTGAGCAGCCCTCTCCTGCAAATAATTTAAAGAAAGAACAAGATTAAGTACTGATAGAACTTAATTATCTTATCATTTTTCAGAAATCTATGATAACACTGTCAGGAATTGAGAAACATACTGGTATTTTAGAAAAATAGACTAATAGTGCTAAACCAAGTTTTTTATTGCCCTAATAGCTGAATCTAAATAAGATCAGTGATAATTAAGCACTCTGCTTAGTGGTCAATAATACTGCCTTCTTGTTACATTTGTTATTAAGTAGTAGTATAATGTGTCACTACTCTATGTTAGATAATGTTTATTTGTGACAGGGTCTCACTATATTGCTTAGGCTGATCTCAAACTTCTGCCTCCATCAAGGACTGCAGGCATGACAGCCATGAATCACTGTATCTAATTTTTGCTGCATCCTAAAGAATTCATCTTATATGCATGTATGAAAGTACCACAATGATGGCTGGGAAGGTGGCTCAGTGGTAGAGCGCTTCCCTTGAGCTGAAGAGCTGAAGGACAATGCCCAGGCCCAGAGTTCAGGCCCTACGACCGGACCCAAAAAAGAAAAAAGAAAGAAAGAAAGTACCACAATGAAACTCCTTTGTACAATCAGAAAAGAATTCATTTAGGGAAGAGAGAGTGAGAACAAGGCAAGTGATAGGATAGACTTACTGGAGTAAAGTGTAACTATGTATAGAAATACAACAAAAATCTGCAAAATCCTCTCCCATAACTAATGTGAGCTTAATTTAAAAAAAAAAGAATTGATTTTGCCAAAAGCCAAGTCAAGAACAATTCAGACTAAAGGCAAACTTATTTAAAAACCAAGTTTTCTATTTGTTTAATAAAAAATTAATGGTTTGCTCTATTAGATATCATTACAAATTACACTAAGTTACTTTGGTTTTTTTTTTTTAATTTTATTTTATTTGAGAACATACTGTACAGAGGGGTTACAATTGCATGGGCAGGATAATGCATACATTTCTTACCAAGCATTGCAGCCTCCTCCTTTGTTTACCTTTGGTTTTAATTTCATTGTTAAGTCCGGAATCAAGGGACCTTTCTAACATGAAAGGACAAACCAAAGTATATAAACATTTATTTTATTGAAAATACCCTTTTTATGAAACTTATTTAATGAGAACCCATGTAAAAAGTCAAAGATTAGAATTGCTCTTAATTTAACTTGCACAGCATATAAGAAATTAATGAAATATATCTTATTCTCTAGTAAAGAGGTTTTAACACGTTTTAAGAGTTCAAGAATTTGGGCTGGGAAGGTGGCTCAGTGGTAGAGCGCATGCCTTGCATGCCTGAGGCCCTGGGTTCGATTCCTCAGCACCACATAAGCAAAAAGAAAAAAGCCGGAAGTGGCGCTGTGGCTCAAGTGGTAGAGCGCTAGCCTTGAGCTGAAGAGCTGAGGGATGGCGCCCAGGCCCAGAGTTCAGGCCCCACGACCAGACCCAAAAAAAAAAAGAGTTCAAGAATTTGAGTTTTGAAAGATGAACACTTTATAAGATCACTTTCATCTAAATAGCGTGCCATATCTGTGAGTAAATGATGTTATCAGTGAAGTATTCTTCATATCACATTCATACATGTTCCTAATTGTTTATTTTTCAAAACAGCTTACTAGGATTGTTAGAATTTCCAAAGCCACATGGAGGCAGTACAATTTAAATGAACAGTGCTGAATGAACACAGGACAGCAGAGTTCCAGTTAACTAACTCTAAATTATCTGCTATGACTCTAAATTATCTGCCATTCTGTCATTTCTTCATTAAATGATGAGTTAGCCACTGTTTTTAAATAAAAAGTTATTTAAAGGAAATAATGTATATTTCTCATCAATATGTAAGTTAAAAGAATGCAGAGCCCAAATCTCACTGTATTACACCTTTCAGGTAATTTTCCTCCTAGCAGATTCTAGTGTATCTTATCAAAAAGAATCCAACTGCCTCACCAAGAGAATACTGTGGTTTCTATATACAGACTGAAACTGCCCTTATTAATCCATTACAACCTTCCAGTCACTAGCAAATTCTAAATCTAAGATGTTCTAATATCACTTATTTTAAATAAATCATATATAGAAAAATGAATAGCCAAGTCACACACATGGACAGAACAAAGAAAAATCAAATGCTTCTCAAAGAGATACTCATTTTATTGTTACAAAGCAAAATATTTCAAATAATACTTCTAAATAAATAAAAATAAAAATACTTTTGTGCTTTCAATGGTAGTACTTAATAATACATTTCATTACTAAGTAAACTAATAAGGATGATGCTATTTAACAAAAAACACATTTGTGTGGTAGAGCGCTAGCCTTGAGCTGAAGAGCTGAGGGACAGCACCCAGGCCCAGAGTTCAGCCCCCCCCCCCCCCAAAAAAAAACACATTTGTTCCACCAACCTTATTCTACAATCGTCAACTGTAATGAAGTTACAGTTCCATCTTCACTCTATCTCTATAGTATTCAACAGTAATGATTCACCATTCATGTTATGTGTCTGAAAATTAAACTATCTTTAATTACAAAGATAATCTTGTGAAGACATTTCCATAAACTGTAAAAAGTACCTGGCATTTCTAAGAGGCATGAAATAAATGACTGTGGAATTACTAGACACAGAACCAGCAAAAGGTTTCTAAAATCTCAACCTTAGAAAAAGAAGCATAACATAGGTATTTTATGCCAGATACTGGCAACCACTAGAAGGAGGGGAGGCCAATGAATTGTTCCAACTCAATAACAAGTAAAGAAGTAACCATGCTGGGCATTAGTAGCTCACAGCTATAATCCTAACTACTCAGTTGGGTGAGTCATAAGGATTGTGGTTCAAAACCAGACCGGGCAGGAAAGTCTGTGAGACTCATCTCCAATTAACAATCAGAAAACTGGAAGTGGAGCTGTGTCTCAAAGTGGTAGAGTGCTGGCCTTGAACAAAACAGGTGAGGGACAATGCCCAGGCCCTGAATTCAAGCCCCACAACCGGAAAAAAAGAAATGGAAAGGGGGAAGGAGAAATGGAAAAGGGAAGAGGAAGGGGAAAAGGAAAGGATAGAGAAAGACCTAGATTGCATATAAAGTCTATCAATATGAAATCAGGATTTACCCTCCGAATAGTCCTCTTAAGAATTAGGCGGTGCTATTATGCTGACAATCTAAAGACCAAGAAGAAAACAAGTGATGTCCTTACAAATACAGACCTAGCAAAGACAAACTGGAATTAGGTGTCAGTTCATCTGAGAATACTTTCACTCTACCCAATCATTTGTTGCTCCAACAGAAAACAGTTACACTGGAGGAGGCAACAATGCTTAATAGGAAATGTACTCATTACCTTGCTCATGTAACTGTTATCCCTCTGTACAGTATTCTTACAATAAAAAAGTATTTAAAAAAAATATGAAAGCAGAAAAGAAAGGAAAGAAAATGGTTACACTACTAAGGTGCCTTTAAATTATGTGATTCAAGCTGTTTTTGTTTAATGTTACTGTATAGGTAATATAGAGAGGGGTTACATAAATCAAGTAATGAGTACGTTTCTTTTTGAATGTCACCCTTTCTCTTGCTTTCTCCCAGTTTTTCCCTACTGAACCCCACAAGTTGTATAATTCATTTTCAACAGTGTCTACTGAGTATCACTGCTGCATTTGTTCACCCTTTGTCCCACCATTTCTGTGCCCCCCAACATTCCCCAAAACAGATAAACTTACATACAAGACAAAAGGTACACAAGGGCTGGGAAGGTGGCTCAGTGGTAGAGCGCTTGCCTTGCATACCTAAGGCCCTGGGTTCGATTTCCCAGCACCACATAAGCAAAAAGAAAAAAGCCGGAAGTGGCGCTGTGGCTCAAGTGGTAGAGCGCTAGCTTTGAGCTGAAGAGCTGAGGGACAGCGCCCAGGCCCAGAGTTCAGGCCCCATGACCGGATCCAAAAAAAAAAAAAAAAAAAGTACACAAAACAACTTCAACAAGAGAGAAAATAACAAAAAAAACTCTTGTTTCCATTTGCTAAGAGTTCATTTCAATAAATATAATTTTATATGATCATATGCACATAGCTATTGAACCTTTGTGATCCTCTCCTAGGCATATCCTCCTTCAGTCTCACTGTCCTGCATAATTTTCTAATGTCTAAGTGTGTTTGTTTTTTACCATTCAGTGTATTTACTTATAGATTTATAGGTACATTCTAGTTACAACAAATAAGGGAAACTATGCAACCTATATTTGTTTGGGTATCACACTTTGCTTAATATAATGTTTTCCAAGTCTTTCTATTTCTTTACAAATGGTGCAATATAATTCTTTCTGACATAAGCACAGAATTCTATTGTGCATATACACCAAGCTTTCTTGATCCATTCATCCATTAAGAGGCATCTGGAGTTGATTTCATATCTTGGGTATTGTAAACAATGTTACAGTGAACATGGCTATGCTGATAGCTTTAGTGTGACCTTGTTTGTGGTCTATGGGATAAATGCCCAGAATTGGAATTGCTGGTCACAGGGAAGCTCTATGTACATAGTCTTTTGATGAACCTCTATACTTTCCAGAGTAGTTGAACAAGTTTACAATCCCACCAACAATACAGTAGTGTTTCCTTTTGCCCACATCCCTACCAGCATCTGCTATTATTAATTTTCTTGATAATGGCCATTCTAACTGTGATGAGGTGGAATCTCAAGGTTGTTTTGATTTGCATTTCTTTTATGGCCAGAGATAAAAATTTCTTCGTGTGACTACTGGCCATTCTTACTTCTTCTGAGAAGTCTCTAAGTACTTATCCCATTTATTAAGTGGGCTGTTGTTTCTTTGAAGATTTATTTAGGGGGTGGGGTTAATTTTTTTGAGATCTAAGTATATTTTAGATATGAGGCCCTTGTCTGATGCATAGCTAGTAAAGATCTTCTCTCATTCTGTGGGCTTTCTATTGATCTTGCTAGCTATGGCCTTGTCCTTTGTCATGCAGATACTCTTCAGTTTGATGCACTCCTATTT